GCATGGCGGACCGCCGAAAAATGGCCGATGTGTTCCCAACTATAACTCACTATCCCCTGGCTGCATTGGTGTGTAGTTTGGCATGTCGTCTGCTAGTATGCCCCGGAAGATGCACGTTGTTTTTATTCGTTTATTTTTAGACCGTAGCAGTTTTAGAGGTAAAGAACAATATTTCATCAGGATACACCGTGGTATAACTCGCCTGTGCTTGTTAAAGGGCCTGGCCGAAAAATTACCGCCAAGCCGACCAAAGGTTTGGTACCCAGGCTATGCGCCTGTAGGAACGTCCGCCATGTTGAAAGTCCCATATATCATATGCAGTCGTGGGCACAATACACAAGTCCTGATACGTCCCGCAATGCAATGAATTTATCATTTATATTATTTATCATCGTATGTACGCAAATATCCGACTGGGTGTGGTTGGGTGGCGTGTCCTGTGGCTGTATACGAAGATATACAAGTACAGATACTGTTTAGACTCCGTCAATTTTGATTTTGTTACTTCACTGAGTAACTAGTATGTATCCAATGAAACAAGGCGACCTACTCTTGTTCGCATAATTAGCTAGGGCAAGGACATATTATAATGTCCTTAGCTAGGGTCATCTTGGTCAACAGAAGTTGTTGAACAGGGTCTAAGTCACCCCGGGGTGAGTGCCGGCAGAGGTTGGGTTTGGTGGGAAAAAAATTCAGTGTTAAGAGAAACCCCGATACAGAAGCTACCAATGTAGAGTGTGGGGAGATCCTGATATTAGCTAGTCGTCTTATTCAATCCTTTGAAATGAGATCAATACAAGGAATAGCGTGTACACAAATGATACCAAATGACTTAACCTTGCACAAACGGTACCCTTCTCAGTTGTAGCGCCAAGATGACTTTGAGGTAATATTGTGCTAAAGGACCGGACCTTACCTAAACCGATGTCTTTTTGGTTACTACCCCTACAGGCCTCAAGAGTTGTTAGACAGGGTACGAGTATTTTTAGTTTTATGAGCTGCAGAAGAAGTACATGTCCAGTTGAGAAGAATTTCAGTATTCAAGTAAACGGTAGGAAACCATTAATATCTAACTTGCGTTGGTTGTGTGGCTATTCGAGTGAATGTTCACCTTCGTCCATATGTTTTTGTTTTGTTTTTGTTTATCAAGTATCTGTTTAAATATTGAACTTCTGTCAAACATTTAGATCTAATGTTAAATGAGTTACTCTTTACGCGTAAAGTTGTCCAGTCTTGTGTGTCTTTTAAAAATGTCTGTCTCTTACGGAAGAGACATACGTGCTTCAAAATACTGAACAAATACGGCAAACATCCGGCTGGGTGTGGTTGGGTGGTGCACGTGTGCTCTGCGCCTGTATACGTACATGTAGATATATACGCTCTATACGTGGTTTTATTGTCGACCGTGTACTAATGCACTAAGGAACGTTTCAACTATGAACTTCAAACAACACAAAAACTCACTTTACCCTCCCATCGCGAACTCCCGCTAAAATAAAGAGATTCAGTATCAAATTCTTGGATTCAAGTTATCTGGGAAGGGCGACAACTTATTTTCCCCGCAGGCCTTTTGACATTGTGTTACCTCCATACAATTGATGTAGTACTAGTGTTTCTTTGTTCAGTCAGTCAGTCAGTCTGTCTGTCTGTCTGTCTCTCTCTCTCCCTCTGTGTGTGTTAGTGTGTGTTCTGTGTGTGTGTGTGAGTGTGTGTGTGTGTGTGTGAGTGTGTGTGTGTGTGTGGTGTGTGTGTGTGTGTGTGTGTGTGTGTGTGTGTGTGTGTGTGTGTGTGAGTGTGTGTGTGTGTGTGTGTGTGTGCGCGCGCGCGTGCGCCTGTGTGTGGTATGTGTCTGTGCTTCCTCATATGGTAAACACATCACTTAAAATACCTTTATGGATTGTAATGATATTTGGTATGTGGATGTTATATTAGATCGATCAATCAATCAATTAATAACATGGCGCAGACCCTCCAGTCAGTTTGCATAAAATGAAACATTGCCAAAGAATAGGACTTGCGCGCAATAAATACATGTCATTTGAGTTTGGAAAACCAAGAATTAAAATAGATTATACAATATCATTTCTCAATGCTAAATCAATGAGACAAATAAAAACATTCACAAAAGCTCGAAATATTTTCATAAATGTACCAGGTCTCTTTTCAGTTTCATTTGCTAACGTCTTTATAATAGACTCTGCCACAACAAAAATGTTTACATTCGATCTTTTCGTCAAATTGTGCCTTACAGCTTGCTACAAAACGACATGAAGGGAAGATACTGGGCCGTGTTTTTAATGTTTTTGGTATCGGTGCCTTTGTTCCTGTTTAACCCGTCAGAAACTGTTATTAGTGGTTATCCGCGGCCGGTGCGTTGGAAACTACCGGTACTCTGCAACAGGTAAGGAATCCACTGTGCACCACCTTGTCTGCCTTATAGAACTGTCGTACGCGTATCCAGAACCATGTTTATAACACGCGCATGAACATGGTTCCCTATAAATACGGGCAAATCTACATTATTGGAAACGCGGGCACTATCCAGAACCGTGCCTGAACCTAACTCTTACTTGCTTTATTATTAATATGTAGAAATAGAACTATAGAAAGACACGCTTCTCAAACATTTATTTGGGCACTGTATTTAAATATATACCCGTTTGCAGGGAGCTGTATCTAAAATGCGGACCCAAACGTGCAGGAGTGTGATATATACGAGTACTTACTTATCACGTACTAGAATATTTTACACTTGCACTACAAATGATCAATGAAAAAAAACGGAACATTTTTCAAAGATAAAGGTACAGGTGACGTGTAACTCTCTTCTATGTAGAGCTCGATTCCTAAACGGTGATTAAGCGAATTGGGGCTTACATCGAAATTAATACCCTACAGTATTCTTTTGTTCATGTAAGTGACTTCTCTTTTTTTCCTTTCTTTTCCTAGCTCTCTTCTAAAAGAATTGGAAAGTGGAGAACACAACAGTACCACGAATACAACCGTAGGACTAAAAAACACACCCGTGATAATGCCACAAAACGTGATAGTCAGGTACAGTTGGCAGTTTTTATCTTGAAACAGTTTGAATCCAACACTAAAAATTGGACTTACCCTAAATTCTAGACTGTTCAACTTCACTCTTAGTCACCGAATGAGCAATCCAGTGATTTTCTGGCTTCACGTTAATATGCAGATAGAACACGTGGATATCGGTGAACAGTGGATAAAAAATAACAGAAAGTTTGTGGCGCCCCCGTCTCGGTTGAGAGATGGTTGTAATGTCCTGTTGGGCAGGGCATGCCCTCTTCCACACACACAAAAAAAGGTTCCGTGGCCAAATCTTCTGTTACTTCTGATCCATTTCTCACGTGCTTTATCTGAACAACGTGACGTCAAGTCAGCAGTGTGTTGTTCATTCCTTGACAAACACAATATAAAAACAGTTGAATATGTGGGTGTTTTTGTCGAAATTACAGTCCAAACCCGTTTCAGAATAAGTTCTATCAACACACATGAGTTTTAAGCCAACATACATGAATTTTTCTCATCTTAAGCTTGTATAGGGTGGATTTCTTAAATGCCGGACGTCGCCACATTTATCAGGATATGTACGCATATTGGAGAACATCAGAAGACATTTATCAGGATATATACGTATATTGGAAGACATTAACAGAACTTTCTGCTAACCTGAAAATATAAAACATTAAAATATAAAAGTGTGCTTGACATTAAATTGCTTTCGAATTCCTTTATTCAATACGGACAATACCAAAGTTCCATCTTTATCAAACATAGCAAAGGGATCACTGAATCGATAGTCACATCCGTGAACAATCATGGTTTGACATACATGTAGGAATCGAATTTTCTCCACAGGAAGTTGACTAAATATGAGCGGCGGGTCCAAGAAAAATACGTGCCGAATGAGTTAGCTGCTCAGAAAAAGTTCCAGGCCGACCAGGAAGCCTTGCGGTCCATACCAACAGAAGCACCTGGATGGGTCTACAACAAAACCGCCGCGGATATGTTTCGGTAAGAGTTACCTTTCATTGGACGGTTTTAAGTAACGTGATTATGACGTAATCTAGCATTCGCCATGTTGGGGAGGGGGTTAAATACACGTGAAAAGCGGTTGAAAATGTTTGTTTTCCCCTAGAACTTCATCTAACAGACTTGCTATTGCCTCTGTGTATCTTCGGTCTATTTCAAACCTATTCAGATCGGTCTTTTCTGCCATTATGACGTCATTTATTTGATTTTTGCGGGGCTAAAATCGTCTAAATTCTATATCAGGTAAACCCAAGAGTATACAACAAACCAACCACTTTCCTGTTATGCTAGTAAGGTCATATTTTCAAACCAAGACCCAGCATGTATGCTTCTTTCTTTAATTTCACAGGAATAAAATAATAAGTGGTCGCTTTGGCAACGGTAATTTCTTGGTCACGCAAGAGAACACACCTGTGAACTCTGTCCTCAGGACTTATTTTAGAAAACCCAAGAAAATCAAAATAAAACCAAAAGATCGTAGACGATTTCCGAAGGTGGGTAAGAAGCAGTTACATCTTGGTTCCCTTAACATCAATGAATATTTAAAAAAAAGCATGCTTTGCTTATATTTCAAAGAGCAAGGAACACTCTGGTAGCTTAAGAATTACTTCTGGGATGGAAGTATTGTTTTGGGTGGCACTAATTTGAAAAGTTTGTATGTTTGGGTTCCCACTTTATATTGGGTTTAATTGGGTTTATATGGCTTTGACCCGAAATGCTCTGGGTTCAAGGATGTGATCGCAAGGAATGTATGAAACATAGCCATGGTGGAATAATGGAGTAAGTTTCATCATACAATCGTATGAGTAATAATATGCATTCTATGATGTAATTCACTATTAAACGCAACACAAACTATAATCTTGCTGCCTGGATAGATAGGCCGGTTACTATTCTTGCAACTTGCAGCTATGGTCTTAATTAGTTCGCCAACTCGTTTTAAAATGGTCACACAGGAAAGCCCGTTTAAGACCAGGCACTTCAGCACCTGTAGTGTAGTGGGGAATGGCGGCATACTTAAAGGAAGCGGCTGTGGAGAAGAAATAGACGCCTCTGAGTTTGTGTTCAGGTGAGGAACTTTGACATACAATATGTAAGATAAGAATCATCGCACCCCTTCTACCGATATTCCGTATTGCCCCTCGGTCCCAACCCTCACGCGCATCGGATCTCCCTCCGACGCACGGTCGGGCTGGCACCTCGGGCGATACGGAATACACCGTGTTGTATTCGTTACATAATGTAGCATAACAGAATTAGAGGGGCTGCTCACCAGACTTATGACTGTGCTTGAGTGAGAATAAATAGAGTAGTAGATTGTTGGGCTAGACCAGGTGAAGGTAAATATTATTCATTTGCCTTGCTTTGCAGATTCTACCTTTCTAGTTGTCTTTTGGTTTTCCTTTGTAGGTGTAACACGGCTCCGTTGGACAATATATATTGGGAGGACGTTGGCAAGAGAACCAATTTTATTACAATGAATCCTGGTATGGTCAGCTATAGGTACGATTTATGTCTAATATAATTATGTTTCCAACTTTCCAACAAGAATAATATCAACATAGCTATCAGCACATGGCATATGCATGATGTCGAGTACAAAATATTGCTAAAAACGTTAACATTAATTTCATATAAGGTTCTTTATCTATCATCTTAAGTGTATTTGCTTAATTGTTCCCTGTTCATGATCAGATCTCTATTAATAATTGTAAATGTTAATTATTGATATCTTCTTTTATTTCACCTAGGTACGATAATTTCGGAAAGTCTAAAAAAGGGAACTCCATGATAAAAAGGGCTACATTACCGAGAAAGCGTAAGGCTATGAAAGAGGGTAGAGACAAATTCCTTCGGGACCTCTCTGTCTACGCGGATAGCTACCTCTTCATAGAAGCCTTCCTGTATGAGCTGAACGCAAAGCGGGCCTTCTTAGCACACGAAGTTCTACGGGAAAGTCACGCCAAGAACACGGTCATCTTTCCTCATCCTGACTTCGTCAGATCGACGCATTCCTACTGGCAAGAACGTGGTGTGAAGGCTCCAAGGGCGTCTACAGGTACAATGTACATAAAGCCCCTGTCACACATTCAGGACCTTCCCCCGATCTTGCCCCAACCATCAGTAGACCAGGTTTCGGGTGCAGTCTGGCCAGATTCAGGCCACGCCTACCTTTATAACGAATCGAAACGAGTTTGAGGTAAATTCTAGTCAAATCTGCCCCCCACCCCCGAACACAGCGAAAACTGCTAACTTACTCCCGAATAGTTGGCTGGTGTTCTGTTGACTTGCCCCCGACCAACCCCCGAATGTTTTAAACATTTTAAAGCGCATACAGATGGCAGCCGAAAAGTAGCTGAAGTCCAACCGACGACCAGCCGACTTTGCTACGAATCATGGTTGAGGTGCGCTCTGCTAGTGTTCGGGAGGCAATATTTGTATATGCGTGACAACGGCTTGGGCTACTGGCCCATATGCATTCTTTATACACATGGCATGAGCCTAAAACATTGACATCATCTACATATCATTTGTTTGATTCAATCAGTTTTAGGAACAGCGTAAAACTGCAATACCGCACATTACTATTTTACATGAACACCACATACAATAAGCATTCAGTCGATGGTGATAGTTTTTATTAACTTTCATCTTTAATTTATGATTTATCCAGGGCTGCTCGTGGTCACTGTCGCGACACAGATGTGTGAGGAGGTGCGCCTGTACGGCTTCTGGCCCTTCCACTCCGACAGGAACAACACACGTCTGACCGAGCACTACTACGACAACGCCCTCCCCTCCAACTCTCACAAGATAACGGATGAGTTCAAAGAGCTGCAGCGTCTTCACAACACAGGTGTCATCCGTCTCACAACCCACGCCTGTCAGTGAAGCGACCATATCTTAGATCAAAGCTGGCGAAAGACTGTAAAATTGCTGTTTACTAAATAATATTTTCATTCTTCAAAACTGACCCAATTGCTTCAGACACGTGACACGAAAAATAGGTCAAAAGGGACTGTAAAATAGGTCAAAGGTGACTGTAAAATAGGTCAAAGGGGACTGTAAAATAGGTCAAAGGTGACTAAAATAGGTCAAAGGTGACTCAAAGTCTATACCGCTTTAGTCATAGCTAAAATAGCGTTCAGCAAAGCGCACCTTATGATATTTTCCATATAGCGAAAAATTTCTCCCTACTGAGTATTTCTATTTATTCCCCAAAGCAGTCCCTTGTTTACAGATCAGGTCAGGCTCTCAAATTCTTCTTTGTAATAAGGAATTTCATAAGCCCTTTTCTACTTAGACTGGTGGTGATTTCTCACATGCATTATTGTTACTCGCCTTTAACTTTGTCCCTTGATCAAGTACAATGTACGCTGTATAGCATCACAAAACTTGGATGTGATATCTTTCCAGACAGTGAAATTTGAAGGAAATAAACACACGAAAATTTCATATGTCTTTCATATCATATTTGTCGGTTTTATATGGTCGTAGGTTCAAGGTCAAGGTGAGAAAAGTCTAATAATTCAAAACCCCTTTGCGAGCCTTTGGCCATTTCCCCATTCGCGAAAAGACCGAAATTTGGCAATTTGACGGTCTCCTTTGGGACTTTTCTGGGTGCGGCCGGGAGCGGTACTGCAGCTTAGGCTCTAATAGGGTATTTAGTGCCGACCTGTAAATGGTAAAAATATACAAGAAACAATCCTTAAGGACAGTGAACGCTTTCCTAGATATGCCCAGACACCCTTACATACAATCAGAATTACATTTAAACACTAGTTGACACATAAAAGACTGATTTGTATGCGCCGCGGCAGGAGCCCATTTGATACCATGCTTGCCCATCGAAGCGCCGCCTACATTTATGTCTATCGTATCTTTTACGTTATAAGAAGGTTAATGCTATATCTGGATGTCATCCGTTTGTCTTTAGCACATTTGCCCTCTAACTCAACTGTCCACCTGCTTACAAGGGGTATGGGACCGTCAGATAAGCTCGGTTCTTACTCGGAAAACAGTTACCACAACATCTGCTTGGAGCACTTATCCGTAATCTCCAAGCCGATATGAGGATCTCATCTAATAATGAAGCAACTACATGTACAAATGTATCAGCTCACAGCCATGTCACATTGATAAATTATGGTGACATTATTGACATAGCGTCTTGCTTCGTGTGTTATCATCCTATCCTTTTATTAACGTTATTCTATTAAATAGGGCAATATTATATTGTTGTGCACGTTGTGTGGCGGTTCCAAACGTACCTCTTTCGTACCTCTAGTATAGCTAAGTATATACAAATCTCACATCGGTCTGTCTACATTTATCTCTCTTTCCTTTCCAATAAACACACACACACACACACACACACACACACACACACACACACACACACAGACACACACACAAACACAAACACACACACACACACACACACACACAACACTTCAAACAAAAATTCAATGGTCATTGGTGTGAAACTTTATTGTATGTCACATAGCTGCTACATAAAATAGCGTACGTTTCTGTGGTACAAAATAAATCAAACAACCAGGAAAGTTATCTAGCTTATATAGAGTCAGACGTTTCAGATAGCATCCACTACCCATTACTGAGAATGGTTACATTACTCTATATAGTCTACATGGTTATTCGTGTTTAACACTGTTACCTCCATAATATTTCCTAGGAAACCTGGATATAGTCACTACTTGACTATTAAAACCCTTGTCCTGCTGTGCGCAACATATGTTGCGCGGCACATACAGTACCATCTATATAGCACCCTGCATAGGTACGATTTGGGGGTATTTCTCGTGCAACGGATTACACCGCAGAGAAACGCAACGAATGCGGAAGTAACTATGCCACTGCAGGGCAAAAAAATCTTGTTTTTTTTTTATCTAATCAAGACATGAAAATATTGAAAAATATTGTGCCAGGAATGCCAGCAGGACAAGGGTTAATAGCATACAATTTTCTACAATAATATTTAGGATTAGTAATCTTGACGTTAGCAGTCATTACAGATTGAACTCGTCAGAATCTCCATCACATATACTGCAGCTTGCTCTATTTCGTGGCGATCCTTGAATCAAGATGTAGAAGGAATTCGAATAGTGTTCAACTCCTGTTCTCTTGAGAAGTCAAGTTTGGACAAACAATCTACGAATATATGAAATTAAGAGCATCCCAAACAGTTCCCACCTGGCCCCAATTCTACTAGAATTGATCCGGCTCGATCTGGCTTCGTCCGGCTCCGATCCGGCTAGAAGCAGGATCGAAGCCGGATCAAAGCGAATCAATTCGGCTCGATCCGGACACTTTAATCATTGTAGGAAAAGGGCCTAAGACTGAGGTTTAAACCAATCTGGACGGGTCTGTAAGGTTCATCCTCCCTTATTTCTATACACTTTATTTTATAAGTGAGACCATATCATCAATACATGACCATATTGTAACGCATATACTGTTTAGATAATAGTTTGTAGTAAGAAATGTAATAAGATAGTTAAGTTTTGTAGTATTGTTGTATTACTGTCACACATTGTACCATGTACGATTGTCGAGCAATAAAGTTCATTCATTCATTCTTATGAACCGGCCAAAGGGTCATTAGTGCAGAATGCATTATTACACGTGTGGACCCTGCGTCTGAACCAGTCCAGACTGGGCCAAACCATTAATATTTGTTAAGATCACTGGTTTCTAAAGTATCAGTAAAACAGTGGTGATGAGAGCGAACATCAGGGTCACGGTAGACCTGGGAGACACCGCGCCTGACGCTGGGTCCACCGGTACGGGCCAGCTGATGGTGTGACGCTGGTTCATGGCCAGGGTCAGGTCTTCTAGGTACCACATCTATATAGGGGAGTGGGGGGGGCAGAGACTTTAGAGTATATTCTGACATCCAGCGTTTAAAGGCGGTTAAAGGAACACAATGCAATTTTAGTGTGGCAAAACAGAATGAAATTCGTGCAAGAAAAATCTGTTTGACAATGACAATTTACTCGAAGCGATTGGAGTAGTCCTGAAACAGATTACATGTATGTAAGAAGAGCCATCAATAAATAGAGCCAGCCTATGATACGAAACATTGCTTGCGACTGTTTGCCGTCAGATATGAGTATGCTACATGTATGGGGATATATGCAACTTACAGCATTTAAAAAAATGAGCAGAAAATTTCCTTTAAATTTGCCTCTGCTAAACCTAGCACTCACATTGTCCACCCCTCCTGTTGTCTTGATGAAAGAACCTGACAGTTTGTTACCGTCAACAGTGACGTCATCGGGTATGCCCTCTGACCCCATAACCTTGACGGTGGCGAAATGCAGCTCGGGAGTTGGAGAGTAGGTATCATGGTCGACACTGATGCTCAAAACACCCTGGAAATTTTAAAGAGACGAGAGGCAGGTTTGAATTGAAATATTCCTATAATTATGTCTCAATGGCTTGCATGTGAGTGGAAGCATTCCTCATCACCTTTCCAATGTGAGTGGTTCAAACCTTACAGTCTGGTCTCAGGTTTGACATCTCGAAAATGGGACAGTCACTTGTTAATTGTCAATCCTAATAGATAAATAACTACGAGGAAGTTTATTCATGCCCGAAGGCTAATTGCAGCATACAATGTGTACAACATATATAAAGAGAAATGCCTTGAGTTCTTTTTTTTTGGAAGCTGTAAATTATAAAAATAAATCAAGTTAACTTTAGTCTAATTTCATCCTTCACCCAACAGGCCAACACCCTCTCACAGCAACAATTGACTACATTAAAACTGCTAAAACTACAACATACCTGGTCCACTGAGAACGTCAGCATTCTGTACTGGTCGTTTTCGTAGGTGTCTGGGAAACAGACGAAGGAAAGAAAGAAGTCATGAATTGACAGAGACTTTTTGTTTTGACATAAGCTTTTCGTTTGTCAGAAAGACAGACAGTACAAAGCAAAAATTGAAAAAAAAATATTGTTGCTATATTACGTAGCGGTATAGAAAATTACACAAGCAATTGGTTCCTTGAATTCGTCAATTTAACTCAAGCACACAATTGTTTTCTGCTTTGAAAATTTATCCTGATGTTGACAGCTATGTAATCGCTTTCAGGTCTAAAACTGTTAAGCTAGCAACGGATTCAAGCAACTGGAGGTTCAAAAGAAAAACCTCCTTGATTCAAGTAAATAAACTCACCTATGCTTTCCCCATCGTCCCAGAACAGACTGCCCTCCGCTCTCCCCTCGGCGTCCAACGCAACCAGCAGGCCAAGGGAGTTTCTTCGGCTGGGGAGGAAGTCAGTGACAATATTAAAGAAATGGATGAATGAATAAATGAATGAATGAATGGGTAAATGAATGAATGAATAGATAGATGAAAGAATGAATGAATGGCTGATAAGACAGTATCAAAGTGGACATGCAGTATCCATTTGCCAGGCAGTTCACCATAATCTCCAAGCAGATCTTTCCATCTTTCTCTTCTTAGTTTGTATTCAGACCATATTTGATTATATGGATGACGATTCCGCGCGCCCATGAATTTTCGCCCGTTTCAAACAAGTTGTCGACCATACTGTAAATGGTACAAAGCAGCTGCAAAATGAGCATATATATGCCGTAAATTGCAAAACAAATATTGGAAAACGATACTAATGTCATAGAATGCCAAAGAAAAAAAATTGAAGGAATGAAAATGAAGAGTCTATTATTCACTATAGCATACTTTGTGTTTAGTCTTTTGGTCAGCCTTTGGCCACGTATATTTGATATTAAAAGAAGGCAACTTTTTTGTGGAATATTTTTTCATTCGCACGCTCGCATCAATTTTGGGATCCCCAGATGAATGTCATCCATATAATCAAATCAACATGGCCTTACCTGAACACAGTAGTGTTGGCAGGTTCTTGTGTAGGTATGACGTAACCACCGCGCAGGTGCAGAGGGATACAGTCCATGTCGCAATCCCAGACTACCATGCGGCCAGTCTCCGCCACTTCTTCGCCCTAAGATAGACAAAAAAATACTTTATCTACTAGGTACTAAAAACTACTAGGCGATTTCATGCGTTTTGGGGAATTTCCTTTTCAAATTTTACTCATTATTGTGAATTTCTTGAGTTAACGTTTATTTCCCACTTTCAGCCAGCAAACCCTCCACTTATCGAAAAGAGTGGGGGTCCTTCCTGGTGTGAGTGGTTCAAACCATATAGTTCGGTCTTACGCAGCTTGTGCCTACATGTACAAAACTGGTGCATTACGCCTATAAAGGCGGTTTACTGGTTATGCAAAAACAAACAAACAAACAAACAAACAAACAGACTCCAGGGCAACAGTTCCTGCTGGCTCCCGACCAGCTTATGGACCTAACTTCCAGTGTCTGACCTTTTGTGGTCTATGGTTAGGGAATTCCCCACCCACGTGTGAGCACTAACATATCGAAGCATGTAGACTGGATTGTGATATTACTTACCGTATAGTAGTCGTACCACCTGGCTTTGGGGACATACGCAGTCACGTCTAGGGCGCCCTGTACGGACAACATCACACAACAGTTACTCGTGCTGAAGAACAAAGCATTCAAATTAGCGATTGTTCTATTTTCGTGTTTTTTGCAGTGACCTCTCCAGCACAAAATTATCCAAATGGCGACGTTGGTGTTGCTTCAAAATAGTCACTAATAATAAAAACATGAATATACATATATATACATATCTCCACTACTGATGCGTGAATAAATAAACAAACAAACAAATAAACACACGCAGACAGAATACTTGTTACCTCGTCCAGTACAGGTGAGATGAGGAGTCCCGGTCCCCACAGGAACTGTCTGTCAACTGTCCATGTTAGCTTGTCATCGATAAACCTGTAGATTGGAGCAATAAGTTATAGGTCGTTGGAGCAAAGTGGCAACTATTCAACTGTACCCTATACGTGGTCTTAAAAAGTTTAGGTACAGACAAAATGGAAACTACTCTCCTCTTTGAATCACAGGGACCACATATTACAGAAAAGAGTCAATCCAAACACTGACTTAACATTTAGAGTTAGCATTTTAATGAGAGTCATTATATCATTCTTTGATGTTGTATTGTTCTACGCGATTTTTACTTGCAGTTAGTGTTCGTGCATTTGCAAACATTTGCAAGGAGCTTCGCTGTCTCAAGAAAAGTTAGTTAAACAACTGGATAGAATTCGAAATCGATAACTTTCAGAAGTTTCAAGTAGCATCCACTACTTTTCGTCAGTGACTGTCAATCAGTTGCATCCACTACAAAACGGATTCTAAGTGAAACGTCAGACAGTTTTCTATATGTATCCAGTGGCGTGAGTAACAGTTTTCTTGCGTATCTCATTGCCTGGATGTCTAACATTCATCGACGGTAAATTTATTAATTCAAGAGTGCCTTACTCGTGCATGAGCGGCCTCACGACGGTTGAGCCGGCGGTGTGAGCGTGGTGGAACAGCGTGTAGAGGTACGGCAGCAGGCGGTAACGGGTCAGCAGCACCGCCCGGGACGCTGCTGCGATCTGCCCGTCCCACGCAGCAGGGTCTTGCCGCTATCAGAATATAAGTTTCTGCACTTAGGGAGGATTATTTTATAAAGCATAACATCAAACAACCGTGCTTGTAAATCGTTAAGGAAAAGAATTAAACCCAAATTTAGAACACCAAACATTCTTCAAACGTTCCTTCTACAGATGTAGGCTAACAAAACTTCAACATAAGACACAATGCTAACTACAAAGGTAACATTTGCAAAGCAAATGTATAATGTTTACATTCGCATATGGTCTGCTCTGTTATTTCTTACTCAAACACATTCATATATGTGGTGACAGGAGTCTAAATCCCTCCTGCTATAAAATTGCAACATTATGTAACCCAACACCAGTGAGAGACGGTCTGGTTCAGGCCATTGACCAGGTCAGATGTCAGTGTTTGGAACGGAAGAAGAAACAGAGCAAAAACAATATGTTTTTCTTCGATAAAAATAATGATCCTCACATATTTTCATTTTCAATGTTACATATAATGCCCTTTTAAGATGACCGAAGTTTGAACTGACCCGATAGCCCTTCCCGTTGTGGTTCCTACTGAAAGGATAGAAGGCTCCGAGCTGCATCCACCGCTGGCACATGTCTGGAGTCACGTCATTGAAATAGCCACAGATATCCGCACCAACCTGGAGAGGAGACAAAACATGAAGAAGAAAAGAATGAAGGAATTGTATTCTTATAACTCATAGAGTAGAGATTTAAGTGAAAGAAGTAGAAGGAAACAAAGAAAGAAAGCGTTTGTGTCTAGCGTCGGCAGAACCTTATGTGCCTGCGCAAAACCCGGATTTTTCACGACTTGTGTTGGATGTTTTGTCAACGTTGCAAATGTCATGTTATCCTGCTCTCTTAGTGGAGGAATAAAGCATGGAAAGGAAGGAAAGAAAGAAAATCCAGTTCAAATTACTGTTTACCTGCTAACTGCCGTGGCAGTGATTGGTTACTTCAATAGGACACCTCACATTGAACTTAAACAATACATATCATACTTACGTATGGAATTCCAAACAGGTTGAATTCGAACATGCCTGGAAGAGAAAAAAACACGAGCTTTCATATGGCAAACAGTTACAGACAACATCTCTAACAACAAAAGTTTGGGAAATGCCCACGTAATTCTGAAAAGATTATTTCGGGCCACCCAGCGCAAGCCGAACCCCGTTACAAATCGGATGGCACCCCGGGTATACGTAGCTTGAAAATTCGTCGAAATCGTGTGACGGCCTTTGAAGGAATGTGAATTTGCCATTCATTTACCTATGATGGAGGTGTGGAGATGCGGCCATTTACTGGTGTTGTCTCCCAGCCAGTGGCCGGTGTACACGCCGCTCCCAGGGTACGTGGAGCGGGAGATGATGACACTGCGTTTCCCCGTGGCCTGCCGCATGGCTCTGGAACACAACAGATAAGTACAATATCTTACGGCATTGTACCCTTTCTTTATAGGTAGCTAGATAGCTAGCTAGATGGGTAGAATAACTTCTACACAGAAGAGTTCCTGCCTTGTGATTGTTTTATGAGTCAAACATCGTCATCACTCTCACGCTACTTAACCAGCTATTCCCATCTTGGCATCTCTTGTCAACGACATGGAATTCGTAGGCTTATACATTGCTCTCTCTTTCACTCTTTCACTCCCTCTCTCCCTCTTTCTTTCTTTCTCTCTCTCTCCATCTCTCTCTCTCCATCTCTCTCTGTCTCTCTCTGTCTCTCTCTCCCTCTCTGTCTGTCTGTCTGTCTGTCTCTCTCTCTCACTGTGCATACCTCTGTGACGGTACTGAATGGCTCCATCCGTACAGACTGTGGGTGTTGTAGTGCACAGTCCCGCCTTGCTGAGAGTTCATGCAGATGGTCTTGTCGGCAAGGACAGCTCCCCAGAACCCTGATCAACACAAACAAGCTTCGTTAGCTGTCTGTACTTAAGAATTTCTTATACTTAAGAAAGAACGGTTTGGACAATGTTGGAAGGAGGAAAAATGACACGGGAATAGATATGCGTAGAAAAGAGCGGACAAACTAATAATACAATATGAAGTGAAATGTAATTATTTCCTTACTAGGTTTGTAGGGCGCCTGGTCCCACTTGTTGTTGCTACAGCCATTGACTGAGCCCAGGATGAAGTTTGCTGGTTCGTTCATGTCCTTAGGGTAATAGAATGTTCATTCCAACAGTATTACATTCAACCTTGTGATTCGCCAGTGATACCAGAAGTTAAAATATAGGGTAGAATACCACCCGTAGGCGCGAAACTGTTTTGATGCCCTTACTGCCCTACAATATTTTACTAGATAGTTTATTTTTTTGAAGTATTTATTTGTTAGTGGAGTACTCATGTCTTCATTTATATCAAAGAATACAAATTATCAAAAAGGCACTCGGGGATGGAATGGATACTTGATGTAACACAAATTCTAACAAAAATAAATGCCATGACTAAGAGTGACTCACGATCCACAGCCCGTCAAACTGAAGTTTTTCGGTGTAGAATTTCTGTATCTCGTCCACCCACCACTGTTTGGTACTGTTCAGCAGGAAGTCAGGAAAGGCTGTGTGCGCTGCGTACTCCTGAGTGATGTATAATGTACCGCAGAATCAACTAAACTTGCTACGATGATCAACATTACGCAAAAACCCTTGGGTCTTTGTTCAGCTCAGACAATGAACATATGTAAAAGATTGGTGGAATCTGAATTCTAATTGTACCTACTTAAAAACGCACGGTTAGCAAAATAAGCATTCGCTAGAAAAGAAATGCTTTATATCGGTACAACTATAGCTTTTTTTCGAAAACAACAGACCATTTCCGCATCCTCTTTGTTGTTCTACTCTGCATCTGATATACAGTATACTCACCCCAACTACAGTCTCCCAAGGAGCGTTTGGATCCATGGTGATGTTAGGTAGATACGGCCACACCTAGAACACGACAAACGAGACATATCCATGGCATGTCAGCATAGGACGTAACGCGCCTGCGAAAATTTGAAACCCAGATTTTTCTCGGTTTTGGTTGGATGTTTGGTCAACATTGTAGGGAAATCGTTCTTAAATACTTCGAGTCTTTATAAATTCGTTCATTTATCTATTTTTTGTGTAAAAGTCTATCTGGATCTTCATCTACGACTTCCTAATTCTACAACAAGACTTTATTATTGCAGATCTATCAATAAAGTCAAGACTGGAGAAAGGTAGCCTTGTGCCCAGTCGATCATCGTAGTTTTGTCTTCGGGCCTGGTGAAGTTCCCCCGGTAGACAAGTAGAGCTGGGAGCCAAGTAGAGATGGGAGGTGGGGAAGAGAGCCCGCTCGAACTGCGGTAGACTGGACGCCATGTTAGATAAAGGTGTCACGTTTACCTTGCCAAACATGATCTGGCCGGGGTTGTCTCCGTCCTTGATCCAGACGTCCATGTCTGTCCCCCTGGTGTACGGGAGATAGTCGGTCTCGTTTGCACTGATAAAGGGATCCTGACGTACGTTGCAAAGAAGAGTTTAAGTTAGTTATGTTTAGATAAAAGACAGCAAAACACACAAAACGCAAAAACGTATAAAAAGGGGCTGTTACGGTCGCGTTCGTCGTTAACTATGAACAGTTGTGATAGCCTTCAGCACCAAGGACAGGGCCGGTCACATTCGACCATAGCTACACTAACACTTGTTGTGATAGCGTTCAGCACCAAGGACATAGTCGGTGTGAGACAAACGTATTTTGTACGATATATTTGCGACTATCCCCAGAATGCCCTACGTTTGCGTACGACATATTTAAGTTACCAAGCCCTTACCAGGATGGTGATGTAGTAGGTGCCGTCCCGCCGGATGGACTGTACCCAGTCGTTCATACCTGGGAAGTTCTGCTGGTCTATGGTGAAGTCGATCTGCCGATCCATGTAGTCAATGTCTCCGTACTGAATATCCTGGATAAACAAGTATTTAAGAATGCAAAGAATTGCAAGTGGTACTGCCATGGAATAAGGTAGACTCCACTAGCGATTCCTAAGGGGGTATGGAAATTAAGGTTCTGCAAATCTAGTTGGGTTGCGGTAACGGTAGCATTTCCCCTTTAAAATTAAGTCAATGTTTTTGCAAAACTCCCCTTACTTGGTGTCCACTCCCTATTTGGTAAAATTTTACTATTTTCCAGTCCGTGCTGCGAAGATAAAGAACAAGGAATCAAACATTACAATGTGCGATTTTCTAAAATCTTGTTGGAGATTGAGTAATTGTCCAGTCATAAAGGAAATGTTCATTTTATGGTTTATAAGTGGCTGTATCTTTCCTGTAATAGTACGTACCTGCGGGATGTCATGCTGTCGGTTTTCATCGTAAATCTGCTTCATCCTGTCCAGACTGTTGTAACCATAGCGACACAGCTGGAAACCCAGGGACCAATATGGCGGCATGAACGGACGGCCAATGAGCTGTGGAGGGAAAAGGCAGTGAAAGGGACGGAAACGCCTCCGTCTGTCTGTCCGTGTGTATGTCTGTCGGCCTGCCTGTCTGCCTGTCTGTCTGTCTATCTGTCTACCCGTCTGTCTGTTTACCTATCTGTCTGCCTGTCTGTTAACATGTCTGTCGGCCTGTCTGTCTGCCTGCCTGTCTGCTAGCATGTTAGCCTGCCTGTCTGTAAACATGTCTGTCTGTCTGCCTGTCTGTAAACATGTCTGTCTGCCTGTCTGTAAACATGTCATGTCTGTCTATCTGTCTGTCTGCCTGTCTGTTTATTTATTGTGCGGATGTACTTCTAGATGATCTACATGACCATTTGCAGTTCCACCTTCCTTTTCACTAACTGATCATTTGTTGTGCACTGGGGATCTGTTTACTCATTTGTTACCTTCGCCAAGAAGGTTATGTTTTCAGTAGCGTTTGTCTGTGGGTATGTGTGTGTGTGTGTGTGTGGTTTAGCAAGATAACTCGAGAAGCAGTGGATGGATTGGAATGAAACTTGGTAGGTGGGTAGGTCTTCATGAGACCTAGAAATGATTAGATTTTGGGACCCCTTGCGGCTTTCCTAGGTACTGCAGCTGAACTTCCGGTTTTGATATCTCGTGTTCTGGACATGCTAGGGTGACGAATTTTGGTTGGTAGATAGCTCTTGGGGTAGGGAAGAAGTGACATGAGTTTGGGTCCCCTAGCGCCTTGTTCTGGAACTGCAGGAGCATTTGTTGAAAAAAATTTGAAGGACGATAACTCAAGAACCGGTTGACGTATTGTCGTGATTTTTGGTATGTAGGAAGTTGAAGTGATGCTTGACATAATCAGATGGCAATTATGCAAATCAGGAGCTAATTTGCATAATTAATGAGGAAATTCTATAAATCTGCTTTGTTCGATAATAGAACTATGAAACACTTGTGACATCTACTTGAGAACGAGAAAAACATCTGAGGATATAGATTATGTAAATGAGGACCTAATTTGCATAATTAATGGCAAATTCTTATAATTCCATAGTTGTAACTGCCGCACCCCGAATTTCATACTTGCCACATTTGGAAGTTAAGTGAAGGTGAACATCAATAAATATAATTTATTCAAATTTTGACCTGATTTGCATAATTTATGAGGAAGTGCTATAATAGCCTTTTTGTTATGATAAGGCTGTCATTGGATGGAGAATATGATCAACTGATATATTCCATACAAATGAGGCTCTTATTTACAAAATCAATGATTAAAATTGTATAATTCGTCACCCGCAAGGGTTAACATCATTTGGCGAAGGTATGAGATCGTGGAACTCTTGTTTCTTTGTTCGTTTGTTTACCTCATAAGAGGTAAACATTGGCGTGACATTACCTGTGTGTACTGTTGAGTGACCTCCTCCGGACTGGGTCCCAGGAACATGTAGAAGTCCAGCACGCCGCCGATAGTCCGGTATGTCAGGGCAGGCTCAGGCTGCAGGGTCACGTCTGGTGAAAAAACAACGAGAAAGGTACTTGACAAGTTTTATTACCTCTTTGTCAAAGTAGCAGGATCTCTGAGTTATCTATTACTTGCGGAATACAAAACAAATCAAGTAACTGGATAAATTCTCTGAGAAGTGAAACGTTTCAGATAGCATCCAGTATCTTTGATCTGTGGCTGAGAATCAGCACAGTAGGATGCTACCTGAAATATCTAACTCTTCAAGGAATTTATCATGTTGCTTGATCTACCTGGATGTCTAACCTTGCCGACGTGTTGGATAGCTCTAGATAAATAGATACATTGCACAGAACCCCGTGTCAATCGTCAAAGACGTTGCCAGGCCTAATAATAATGACCATTCTTCAGTCAATAAATCCATGAAACACACCAAACGTACCCATTGCATTGCTGTTGAGCAGGAGGACGCTGTGTGCGTTCCCGTCATCCTCCACACACATGTGGTAGGGATGGACGCCGTACAGGTTGGGCGGGGTGCCGTCATCACCGGGCTATGGATAGATAAAATGTCAGTTTTGATATCTCATAACTAAACATGTTTAAAGTAAAAACTTTTCTTCCAACACAAGAGATTGTTCTCACCTAGAGCTTTCGACAAGTCTCACTGGGGCAGTTTATTGAAGAAGACCGGAGAAGTCAAAAGCTCTAGATGAGAACAATTCCCTATGTTGGAACAAAAGGTTTAACTTTAAACACGTAAATTCGAACGTATATTTGCCACTTCGACGTCGTATTACATCAGTGTCGGGTGTATGAAAACTGTTGCGTTTTGACGAATGATATATGACAGTATCGGAGTGTGGAGGTTTTCCAGAAAGATGCTGCAATGGATATAAGATTCCATACTAACTACCAACAAAGCTGAACTTTCATGACAGCATAATTAAACATTTTGAAAACAGTATTGTGCCTCCTATCAGCTGTTTTCAATGTTTAAACTCACAGAGTCGTGATGAGAGCTATTTTCTTGCTGTGTGACGTAGGGTAATCAAATACTAGTAGCTAGACTAAACCATATTTTCCTACAAAGGTATGGAAGGTTCTATCACTCACCGGGCCGGGTGGCTGATCTCGCGAGAACATGCCCCACGTCCTGTAATCCATGCTGTGCCGGTAGGTGGCGTGCTCGTGCTCGCCGAAGCCGTACACGTACCGGGACGGCAGCAGGGTGGAGATCTGCAGGAACTGGTCCGAGAAGGTGAAACCGCCAACAGAGGAGTCCCAGCTGAAACCAATTCAAATTGTTCTCAAAGACGTAACGGAAACGGCCAGCTAGAAAAACGATTTTGCCTCCAGGCATCAGCCTCTGTCAGGCTTTAAAAGCGGCTGAAAAGAGCAGAAATCGGCCAAGTAGACATGTAACATCAATCCAGGGGAGTTGATCCGCAAAAGGGGTGCGGCAAATGTGCTTCTTTAGCGGACCAACTCCCTTGGCATGCTATCTGTCTAACTATTTGGCCAATATTTACTCATTCCAGCACTGAAATTTTCAATGAGATATCAAAAGATGGCGACAGAAAAATAACTGTTGAGACACTCACAGAATGGTTCCTGTAGCTGTTCTGGTTACCCTGATGCCGAAAGGTTTCCCGTCTTCAGTGACGAGCTCCACGGCATAGGCGGGGTTAGTAGCGGGCGTGCCGGGCCTGTTTACCGGGACAGGGACCTCGTACCGCGCCGTGGATGCGTCATAAAACTAAAAAGACATCAATACTAACATTACTTTCATGCATGCAATTCATGTTACGTGTGCGTCCATGTGATTTGCTATCTGGTGGGGTTGGGATGTAAAAGATATAATCATCTGTAATACCGACAGGATTCAAAAGGAGGCGGTATTTAAAAGTTTCTACTGCATATCAAATACGACGGTCGCACGACGACCATACGACTTTCGTACGACGATTCTACGACCAATCTGATCGGGAACCCATACATTGGAATTGTCCGTCTCACCTTAAATCGGAGCACGTTGTCGGACAGCATCTCGACATCGAGCGTCACCTCCTGCACATCCGGGGAACTGCTGTACTTCGGGGGCAGGTTGTTCCTGTTCAACCTTACCCTGAAACCGGCTGACGTTTCCTCCCTACTCCCAGCAACCATGGCGTAGCCGTAGTTGTTGCCATAGATGCACTTCGGCTCCCTTGGGTAGTGTGTTTCCGCCCACAGACACCCCCTGGCCGTACAGTCGCCCTCCGTAAGGGGCCTGTTGAACGCCTCGGGATAACAGTCGAACCGCTTGGTGACGTCAACACGGGGCTGCGCCGTCCCCAAGGGGGTAAGGACAATTGTCAGAAGAGCCAATATGGGCCAATCCATAGCTGTGTGTCACTGTCAGTATGTTCTGAAAAAAAAAACCCAAGGTAATTACATGTTTAAAGTAAAAACTTTTGGTTCAACACAAAAAAAGCCCCCTTACCAAGAGCTTTCGACCAGTCACTCTGGTCTTCCTCAGTACACTGACCCAGTGAGGCTTGTCACGTGGCTTCTTTGAAGTGTAACGTCAACACTGGGTCAAAGTTATCTGGTAGACTTTTTTTGTGTTGGACCAAAAGTTTTAACTTAAAACATGTAACTACCAAGACAGATGAACATTCATGATAGAAGGTAATTACACTTACGAGACTAGATAGGAAAAATATGTTCAAAGTATATAAAGCATCGCTAAAAGGAAACAACTAACTTCAGTGCACAACGGTATATACTGGTTGAACAGAGCAGCCTGGATGAGCTAGCACGTCGGCAGTATTTTTTAAAACTGCGCCTGCACAAAACCCGTAATGTATGGTGCATAGCACTATGGCAGAATATCTCGTTTAAGGCCGTGCCGTGTTAGGCGTATTTAAGGCAGACATTTCGTCAATTGTCGCAAAGGATATCGTCTACAACGGGCAAATTTCTTATGCAACGTTTTATCTGGAGTACAACAAAAAACGCAAACACAAAAGGTCAGCTCCTGTCACGTAAGAATCCCCCACGAAGCCCATTTTTGGCCTTGACAGAGCCCATCACTAAGACAACCTGCCTGCCAAAAATCGTGAACCTCGGGCCATGCCTTCAAAATTTATCGTGCATAATCTGCCAAACAGTGCCAAAACGATTTCATAGCCTTGTCGTCGAAGGCAAAAATCTGTAGACTGTAAAAAAAGTTCTGTAGTCTGTAAAAAAAGTTCTGTAGACGCCCTGAATGACCTTGGGTACGTGTTACATAACCCGGACTTTGCGCCTTGCAGTCAGAGCAGAGAAAGTTAGCGCGTCTTGTTGTTCAAACATCGTACGGTTCTTAGTCAAATGTTGACGTTATACAAGCTGTTTGTACAAACACACCAATGCGATAGGAAACTGCAAACAAGTAAATTGGAATTTCATGATACACGTCAGCAATTAAATGCCTAGAAGATCATGATCACGTCGGTAGACCGCCATCTGGATTTTTCACGGTATCCGTTGGATGTTTTGTCAACGTTGCATAAGAATTTTGCCCGTCACAGACGATATCTTTTCGGACACAGCATTTGAAAATTATAGGCGGGATGTCATCCTTTAATACACGAACACGACCTTAAACGAGACGAAATGTTATGCTGAAGGGCTGTGCGCAATGCATTATGGGCTTCGCGCAGGCGCAGAACGTTCTGACGACGTGCTCCCAGGAGCAAAAAGAGCACCCTCTGCACTAGACGGCGATTGACCAAAATCTATTTGTTTAGACAGCGATTGACCAAACGTTTGCGTTTGATTTCATAATTTAGATATTATGCAAGATATGAAAATCAGATTTTTACACAAGGAACAAGCAACCAAACACAAAACGTTAAAGAATCGTTCCTCTAAAGAAAAGTGGGCAGCTCTTTAATACCAGGCTTCAGCTGAAGCGGCAATAAAGAGTAAAAATTGGCCAAATAGGCGGATAACTTGCCAGGGGAGTTGGTCCACAAAAAGAGTATTTGAGGCCCCCCAATATGCTGTCTTTCCTGGCATGTTATCTTTCTATTTGGCGATTTTCGACCCGCTTCAGAAGCCTGGTGGCGTCTAGAAAGGGGAGGGGGAGTATAATCCAACATGCCTGCACGCGTACCCAGGGGTGCCAGAGTGCAATTTTACGGAATACAGTGCAATTTTATGGAATGCAGTATAATCTCATTAGTATACAGTGCAATTTTACGGAATACAGTGAAATCGTGTTTGTATACAGTGCAATTTTGCGGAATACAATGCAATCGTATTAGTACATAGTGCAATTTACTAGTAAAATTGCACTGTATACTGGTAAAATTGCACCGTATACGAATACGATTGCACAGTGATTCCGTAAAATTGCACTGTATACTAATACCATTGTGCTGCATTCTGTATAGTAGTAAAATTTCACTATATTCCGTAAAATTTCAATGTATTCCGTAAAATTGCACTGTATACTCTGGCACCCCTGGGTACCATACGGTACGACGCACGCGGCGTGGTGCGCCATGCTGGTCCGCCACTGTGTCAACAAAATGTCCCATAGCTACAGGACCGAGTCCGTGGCGAACAAAACATGCGGAACATTAATCTTTCAAGGCAGGACACCGCCCCTGAAACACCCCCTTTAGGTCCTGCCCACAGCTACATGTACACAGTAATGGGCTTTGTCTTTAGAAGGAAGGAGTCGTGTCTTAAAATAAGTCATGACGAGTCAAGTCTGGAATTTACCAATAGTCTGGCAGTGACAAAGGCCTCATTGAGCTATGGTATACAACTGTCACGCGTCTTGAAGACTTTCTAACGTTTATTTAAGATTACTTCTTTCTTACTTTCTAAAGATTACTTCAATTGTCCATTTATCAACTAAGATAGCACCAGCAAAACAACTGCATTAACATGTTTACCCAATGTTCTCCCATTGTATCTTACGACATTTCCAGGTCTGTCTACCCAACAAGACATCTCCATACGTTCTATACCTAATTCTTTAATGTTGCTTCATAATTACCTCTCTAATTGTACAGAGAATTGTTTCCAATTGCTGTAGGACTTGACAAAACAGGTCTATGATCATAGTTATTTTAGCTATCATGATCAACGATCTATGATAAGAGTGCAATTTGTGACAAAATATATTGTTGCAGATGTTACAAAGGTTTAGATGGCAGAAATAAACGTAACATGGCCTCACTACGCAACACTATAATACAAAACTCTGGAGAAATGTAAGGTAGCGTTACCTGCTCCACGTTTCCTCCTTTCTTGTCTGACAGTTTGACCTTTGAAAAGTGGTCAACACAGCAGCTGACGCGTTTTACAGCACCAATTTGTTTCCATTTGTTAACTGTGCAAACTCTACATGGAACACTGTGAGAACAACTGTCCCAAACCATCTCGTCATTTTAACAACAATGAGCTTTACTAGCATGAGAATAAAGACTATTAAGTATTATAAATCGAAGTTTCATTGAATTCGAGGCATTTCTACATTACACCTTATTACACATAATGAAATAAAATCTGAAAAGACGCACAAAAATGACATGTTGTTATTGGTGTCACTCATGTTTGTTTTTATGTCTTTTTTTTAAGTATGACATTTCAGAGGCTAACTTTATTGTTGTATATATAGGATGCGGGTTGTCACGAAAATCTCCAGGGACATACAAGGGATGGACAAGGGATGGACAAGGCTATCCAATAGGGCAGAAATTGATTTATGATAAGGTTAATAATTTGCCAGGGCCAGTAACCAGAGAAGATAGCAGTCCGTTTAGAGAAAGCCGCCAGCTAAGAATAATACCGTTTCTGTAATCATTAACCGGGGCCAAGTTAAGGCCATTTGGGGGTCGTTGTTTTAGAAGTATTGCATAAGGTTTTACCGATGCTTGGAGTCCATTGTTCTTTATGTTAGTAGACTACAGATAGACTTGTATAAAAGAACATTTCGGAGCAGTACTGTCGCTCGCGAGTACTGCTCATACAAGTCAAACGTAACACATCCAGATGTAACAGTTCACAGATTTCAGTTATTGTTTACAAGGTATAGAGGGAACATTTTTTAAGGAATTATACTTTTTTTGTTGGGAACCATCTGGTCTGGTTGTACATATTAGGCATGGCATGGCCCGTATAATCTGCCAACATCATGTCTTATTATTCAAGTGATTACATCCCTCAAAACAAAGAATTGTCTTCAACGAAAAGAATTATCTCAAAACAAGTAATACTTTTTTGGAGGCCTTTACGGTCAAAAGGTCACGCGTTCACACACGTGTCGATCGAAGTGTCAGAGAGTCGGTACAACAGACGGGACTGGCGACACACGGAGGTGGTGAGTACAAACTACATTTCAACAACAACTTGTTCTATTTTTTTTAGCGACGATACTGGTGCTAATCTCCAAGCAGTCTCTGGGTGGCCGCCATACAGTATTAAATTGGCAAGACAGTATCAAATAATTTGACCAGGCAGGGGCAGTACTAGTATTACTACCAGTGCAAAAAGGAAGACCAATAAGAACACACAAAATACGTCCAAACTTTCACGTAATGCGTAAGCAAAACAAAAAAGGACTGTACTTGACGTTGAGATGCGATGTGTGAAAACCCATGCCAGACTGTTAGAATGAGCCACGCCCTCCTATGTCACCAAGGGGTCACTGACACAGTGCTGGTTGTGCCGCCGCAATGTTAGACATTGGACGTTATGTTACGGCACGGTCACATTCGTCGTATAGGTCGTCGTACGATTTTGATGCAGTAGAGATCTTTCACGAACGCTGTGAAAAAAGCCACTGCTGGAATGATCTGACAGCCATTCCGTAAGCTGAATTTCCCAGGACATATGTATGGTTATCCCAAGAATTCTCTCAGCTGGAAATCGTATACGACCACGGCCTATGTGACCGAGCCTGTATTGAAAAAAAAATGTTTTTGAAGTCTTCTATTGTTGCAAATGTTATCAGACGCGTAGACTTGGCACACTGGACAGAAGCCAAGGTGCCAAAATGTTCGGGGCAAAGTTCACTCGTGTACATGTACTCAGACCTGACTAGCTGCCAATGTGACATGTGCTTACAGGATTCAGTGCCGAGTGCCAGACTGAACACGTACTGAAAATAAAGAGACACAATGAGATGAATGAATTTTACAGGACGCACCGGCTATCTCAAGAATGCCATTAAATGTGACCACACACCCCCAAGGAAAACAAACATGATGATTAACGATAGCAGATGTGACGATGCATCGAGAAGTTGGTTCTGGCATATCGCTCATGTGTAGCGACTGTATGCACATACAGGCACGCCTGGACATAGCTTCAAATGTTCATATTTCCCTGCGCCAACGTTTGGTACGAGATAAAATCATCAGAAAATCGCGGGAACATTTGTATCGCCGTACTGCAAAACAGTACTGGCCAATTGATACGCTGTGGGATTAGGTAGGAGTGTGTTTAATAGAACAACAGATTATAAGGTTGGTAGACCTCTGTGGGGCAATGGTTATGGTTAATGTATAACTTCTGAATTCATGGATCCAGAGGCGTCACTGGCTGACGAAAAACGATTTACACAATGTAACTAGTCAGCAGTCTTATAGATCTCTCCCTTACACTTTACTCTTTATCTTCTATCAATATTGTATGGCTTAGAATTGATGTGTATATTGTATGTAATCAGTCTTATACAACGCCTTAAATTGTCAATACCCTTATCTTATACAACACTTCTCCTTACATTGTTAGAATCGTTATGCAATAAACTTTGACTTGAAATGATATAGCTAAGCAAATTATCATTGATATGACACAAGTTTCATACATTGCAAAGCTATTGCCCAGCAAAGGTCACTGAACATTTCTCCACATTTAAACATTGCAGCTTCTAAACGGTTTATAAGGCGTGGACCAACATGGCGTCCTTCTACCTGGCTGTTCTGTTGATCGCACTCACTCCCTGTGGACTGGACGCCGTCGAGGACAACGACCGTTTTGACTGTTACCCGGATGACGGCGCGACACAGCAGCTGTGTGAGGCTCGGGGCTGCATGTGGGAAGAGACAAACAACAACAAGGCGCCGAAATGCTTCTATTGGTACATAGAGATATAATTTTTTTTTCGTAGATACTTCTTACAACAGTTAGACTCCTGGCTACCGTTAACTACACTACACAAAACCCCATCTTAAAGCATCCTTAAATGTTAGAGAAACGGAACCTTCACGCATTGCTTAAAGATAGGGTTTTGTGCAGTCATAAATGCTAATTGCGTGATTGAGGTTTCCTAATTATATTGACTATGATGCCAAAACCGTCCGTTATTGGAACTCAGATGATTTTTTTTAGATTTTAACGTTGTCTTAATTCCTTTCTTAAATGTGCTTTCGTACACTAGGGCACCCTATGGATATCAGCTGAACGGTAGAGTCCAAGACACGGACCTCGGGCATAGGGCCACCCTCCGCCGCCTGAGCACGCCTGCTCGGTACGCTAACTCCCCTGAGGTGGACTCCGTGACTCTGGATGTGGAAATGCATACAGCCAAGCGGTTGAGATTCAAGGTACGCATTCCAATTCTTCTGTGACCAGGGTAGACATTTTTGATAATCAAGTAAACTTTTGAGCATTGGAGTTGGAACTGCGAACGTTTCGTGGTATGTTTATTTCCTTTCTCGTGGCATCGGTGGCGCAACGGTTAGAGCATTGGACTCGGAACCAATAGGTCCCGTGTTCGATACTTACCGTGGCTCAACGTTGTGCCCTTGGGAAAGGCACTTTACACGACCTCCCCACCAGTACGGTGGAGTGACGCCCTCCGAGCCTCTTAGGCTAATCTGTGTGCCCAAATATACACTACGGATTTGCTGTGCCAATGTGTCAACATCTGCACATTTGCCACCAAGAGCCGTAAATTTTTCTTTATTTCCCTTCGGTACAGTTCTCCGATAGTGACAATCCGAGGTTCGAAGTACGGAACAAGATGCCACACATCCCTGAGGCAACGGGAAAAGCGCCCTCTACCGAGTACACCGTGAGCTTCACCCAATCCAGTCCCGATGCGGCCTTCTCTCTCAGTGTGGCCAGGACGGCGACAGGGACAGTGCTGTAAGTAAAAACCTCTGTAGCACACCAGATCAAGATCTCCCTTACCGACCTTCTCCAGACCACGGTTAGAAGTTCGTCGTGATGGGGAGTTGGTTGGTGAGGCTGTCTATGTCTTTTTAAATATCGTCCGCAAAAAAGTATGCAATCCTCGGCTTCTTGTATTCCCCATGTCGACCTCTTTTAAATCCTGCTGAGACCTTTGACCCTCCGTTATTCTGCCTGTCAATCTTCGAACCTCCACCCAAGTGTTTTCAGCTTACTCTGTTCGGACAAATTTATATACACAATTCCAAAGCTCAGCCACCATGGACATGGTATAAGTAATATTCCCGGGCATGTTTGACCAAATGTACTATAGATTTTTTATTCCAACATGCTAATCACAAGACCTGGTGAGGGCACACTCAAGTTTTTCAAAACTTATTTTTATGCCACCACCAACATAATACAAGGACTCATTTTCACCTGAGTAAAGTGAAGTGAGGAGACCCGTGTGTGTAAAGTGTCTTGTCCAAGGACACAAGATCGGTGGCATGGCAGGGTTCGAACCCGGGACTTCTTGGTTCCAAGACGAACATTCCACCGTTACGCCACACAACCGTTTACCTACATTTCAGCTGGGACACGTCGGTAGGCGGGTTCACCTTCTCGGACCAGTTCCTGCAGATTTCTACCAAACTCCCGTCCTCCTATGTGTACGGGTTCGGCGAGCACGAGCGCAACAAGTTCCGCCATAACATGGACTGGTGGACCTGGGGCATGTTCACACGGGACGAGGCGCCTGGACCGGTACAGAATTTGTTTGTTTGTTTGTTTGTTTGTTTGTTTGTTCGAACGTTTGTTTATTCATAAGAAGCTCAAAACCTGCAGGCCGATTTTCCATTGAGATCATAACGGAAGAGGTAAGGGTCAGACAAAATATGTAACAGAGACATAGTCTACATATTACATCATTTAATAAACCTATACACATATTCACATATACACGGCGCAAAAGCATTTACATGCTTTCTTCAAATATCATGTATGTAAATGTATGTACCTGAAATCATAACAGGCAAAAAATCCAGAATATTGACAGTTATCAGAATAGGTAGCCGAAACAGGCATACGATATACCACATTTTAAAAGTTTTTCGTGGAAGAGAAATGCTACGAAAAAGTTTAACTGCTGATGATAAGTTGATCAAAATCACCGCTATTTTCCAGCCCTCGAACGGTGTCAACAAGAACCTGTACGGCATGCACCCGTTCTACCTGTGCGTGGAGGATGACGGGAAGGCTCACGGCGTCCTGCTGCTCAACTCCAATGCAATGGGTAAAGTGACGTCATACTCCTTACGTCATGTCAATTACGTCATGGCACTTACTTCATGTTCTTACGTCATGGCACTACGTGATGTCATCTACGCCCTAGCTTGGGGAGCTAAAGACACACAAACAGAGATAGAGTGAGAGAGAATGAGATATAGACAGAGAGAAAGAGACACAGACAGAAAGAGACTGAGAATGAGAAAGATAGCTAGAAAGAGACATGCATAGAGAGGGGGGAAGAAAGACAGAGTATAGAAGGGGAGAAGAAAGAGAGAAAGAGACGTACAATTCATAGGTGTGTTATATTTCTTCTATCCTACCCGGTACAGAGGTAGTCCTGCAGCCCACCCCTGCCATGACGTTCCGGACTGTCGGCGGGATTCTGGACTTCTACATGTTCCTGGGAGACGGGCCTGAGGACGTGGTGCGGCAGTACACTGAGGTAAACTTAGGAAAAATTTTGTCTGAACCCTGTCTACAGTTTTACGTCGCAGATTTGTTGTTTTTTTGATGGCCGAGCCGTCAGATTGTGTGTCTGTTTCTCCTGATATAGTACTGCTCAAAACCATATGCGCATATACGTAAAGGTACATGTAGGAGAAGAAACGTAACCTTTATTGTCAAAGGTCTGCGTGAAGAATCGATTTTTTTGTAGTTGAAAAGACATACGGCTACACCTTTGGTTGGGTTCAACACATGTCAATATGCATTGATGTTGTTGGACGTTGCCATCTTGCCAGTTTGTAGGCCGCCCGTTCATGCCACCATACTGGGGACTGGGCTTCCAGCTGTGCAAGTGGGGCTACGGGAGTCTTGATGTGGTCAAGGACGTCGTCAAGGAGATGCAGGAATACAACATCCCGCACGTAAGTCACACTATGTTCTTCCTTACGGCGTGGTTAGCTCATAACACTTGTTGTGACAGAGTTCAGTACCAAGGACAGGGCCGGTGTCAAACCACAGTTATGGTGGGGTCACATTTGACCATAGCTACACTAAAACTTGTTGTGATAGCGTTCAGTACCAAGGACTGGAGTTCTCGGGGAGTGGACCAAAACAGCCACTAGCACAGTGAACGAGTTTGTGACACTGACTAGAAGAGAAGATAAATGTTGGCTTTGATGTTCATCCTACAGGACGTACAGTACGGTGATATTGACTACATGGAGCGTCAGATGGACTTCACCATAGATCCCGTCAACTACCAGGGACTTCCTGAGTTCGTGGACCAGATCAGACGAGACGGCATGCGTTACGTCATCATTCTGGTAATCTTTGTCATTGCCTTTCCGTATACTCACAATAAATATGTCAATTTCTCAACCATGTTTAAACTTCTGATGAAATAGACACAAATGATAACGTCCATCCTCAGTTTTAACCAAGTATGGAGCTAATTAGTTTTCTTTGAAACGGTATTTGGGGTCCGGAGACTAACATTCAGTACTACTGTCAATTGGTTTTACTTATAGGTTTTGTTGCTGCTACTGTGATTTTACTATTTTATTTTTCGTGACATATACTAGTATACCCTGTCTATAGTCTTTGTCTTAAATAACAGTAAGAATGAATTTGAAAAAAAGGACGAACTTGGATGATTTGAGTAGTGTTTTTGTCCGTCCTTATTAATGAATTATTGACAAGCACATCGCACTAAGTATGTCGAAATGCTTTGTTTTCTTACAATCTAATCACATTTTTACAGGACCCCGCCATCACGACCAACGAGACTGCACCCTACCCACCCTACACTAATGGCACGGCACTGGACGTCTGGATCAAGAGTGGAGAGGACACTTCACAACCGCTCACAGGGAAGGTAAAAACCTGATATGACCTTGAATGCTTCCAAACAAATATACATACATCTTCATCTACATGTGGTTAGCCTGGTATCAAAACTCATAACTTCAATTACCATTTTATTTTATTTTATTTTATTTTATTTTATTTTATTTTATTTTATTTTATTTTATTTTATTTTATTTTATTTTATTTTATTTTATTTTATTTTATTTTATTTTATTTTATTTTATTTTATTTTATTTTATTTTATTTTATTTCATTCTATTCTATTCTATTTTATTTTATTTTATTCTATTTCATTTTATTGATGTATCTAGATTTGTACGATCGTTTACTTGTTTTTTTTAACTATGTAGTGATATGGCTTTTTGTGCTTCACATCTCTAGTCAGACCACACTACACTTTATCCCACATAGGTGTGGCCGTACTACCCCGGTACTGTTGTTGATCCAAACGCAGAATGGGACTACAAAGTCGAGGTAAGGTTGTTTTTTTGCTGCATGGGTTGCTGCTTTATCGAAAATGTGAAGTTGAAGAGAAAGATATACTCCCTTTCTCTCTTCCATCATAACTACAATCAGAAGACGCTATTTTCGTTCCTACTAACACTTGTTGTGATAGCGTTCAGCACCAAGGACAGGGCCGGTGTCACACCACAGTTATGGCGCGATCACATTTGACCATAGCTACACTAACACTTGTTGTGATAGCGTTCAGCACCAAGGACAGACCCCGTGTCAACCCGTAATTTTGCATTTGGACCCTTACTGTAACTGTAGAGGTTTTAGCTGCAGGTCTGAGTACAGTACATTTGCGTGAACATGCAAAAGAGAGAAATCTCCTTTAAGCAGAGATAATATGCCGATGTCTAACCATTTGCATTATCCTACCACAGAACTACAATGCCTACTCCGTGTTCCCCGACTATTTCCACGCCGATATCGACCGATGGTGGGGAGAGTTCATCAAGGATTTCTACAAGACTCTCAAGTTCGACGGGCTCTGGATCGTACGTATCAACTTCCTTAAACATTCAGAAGCATGGCTCCTGACTACGATTCTATTAAACTGTTAAACTGTCTCGTAGGTCCTTTTCCCTCAATTTGGGTAGTAGAATAAGCAAATGTGCATCCTATATTTTAACTGTTCATTACACTATGTTTTACTATAACTGTCACACATTCTATATACTTAAGCTAATACATTGTAGTAGCGAACATGTAGTAGCGTCACCTATCGGATTTATCTTGTACTGCATGTTATAAATGATGTGGTTTGTTGTATCTATAGGACATGAACGAGCCCACTAATTTTGTACACGGATCTGTGACCGGCTGCTCCGACAACAAGTGGGACAACCCGCCCTACATGCCAAGTAAGCCAGACAGTTGGTGGATTACTAAGTCTAAGTATCTAATTACATCTCAGAAAAGAACAAGAAGTAGCAATGCCTTTAAGTATCAAAACTACCAACCAAGAGTTGAGGTGGTCAAAAACTAGTTCTTCACCTAGTTCTTCACTATCGTAAAGCGATTTTATCTTTTATGCACTTATAGAGATCTTGGGCCCTAACATTTACTCCAAGACCCTGTGTATGAACTCGATTCACGGCGGAACGGAACACTACAACACGCACAGTCTGTACGGGTGGAGCCAGGCCGAGCCTACACAGAGGTAAGGAAATGTGCTTCTACCAGTATAATTCCACTAGGCCACGTACATCTACGTACCAGCATGGAAAATGCAAGATACCTCCAATCCAACATCCCTACTCCCAATATAATGCACCCCTGCTTATCTAGACTGTGATTAACCTCCCAAACATGGTAAAGAAACGAAAATGGAAAAGATGAGAGGCACAACACTAATAGAAACGTTAGAGAAAAAATAGAAAAGAGTTCAGAAAACTGGTTGCCAGTCAGATCATCTGAAGTAAGGTATAGATGAGATGATGACACGAAAGGATAGGTGAGATGATGACACGAAGACTACACGCTGTGTGTTTCTCGTGCAGGGCCCTGCGGGAAGTGACCGGGAAACGCGGGATCGTGTTCGGCCGCTCCACCTTCCCCAGCGCCGGCCACTTTGAGGGCCACTGGCTTGGCGACAACACGGCAAAGTGGGACCATCTACACAAGTCCATTATAGGTATTACTATTGGTAGATGGTATCTGTTACTGCAGGGTACAGAGGTACTGATTTGGTTGACTTACCTGTGATTGTTTTATGTTCAAGTAGCGACGGTTGCATGGTGGGTGGGTGGTGATTTTGACAGCTGATAGGGAGGTCAAGCCGGAAGCTGACAGGGCGTATGTGCAAGAATCCAGGAAGTGATTTGATACACGATTGAATTACATCATACAATCCCCTCCATAGTTAAAATGTATCATATGTTATGCCTTTTGTGAAAGAAACAGTTAACAATTTCTTTTCGCACTTCTCTAGGAATGTTGGACTTTGGCCTTTTCGGTATGCCATACGTAAGTAACATTTTCATCAGTATCTAAAATCACGTAACCTCACTTATAACGTAAAACCAATGTAAGGTAAAGTTCCCCATTCCCCTGACTTAGAAGTATCGGTCATCAAGCTCAGACAAAATCTAGGCCTAGCCAGTGGAATATGTTTGCTAGAAGCGTAATGTAGGGTATCGTCTGTTTTCAGCCACTGTTTTTATTCGTTTCTAGGTCGGTGCAGATATCTGTGGGTTCTGGGACGATGCGACCCCTGACATGTGCCACCGTTGGATGCAGCTCGGCGCGTTCTACCCCTTCAGCCGCAACCACAACTACGAAGGAGGCGCGGTAAGTTCAACAGCCGCCATTTTGATTTTTGCCGTTCTCGTTCCCAGGTCGGTCCACTGACATTTGCGGGTTAACGTTCTTCTTCGATGCCTGGCCAGAGCTGTGTCGGCGCTAGATGTAGTTAGGAGCGCATTATTATAAAGGAGAAAGAAGAAAGGGCAACTAACAGTACGTAGATGATAGGTAGTATATAATACTCATGGTTTGTATACTGCATATCCTCTTGTGCATTTAGCCCATCTGGGCAAGAACATGCAATAAAGATTCATATATCCCTTTAGCAGGTATCACAGCTGGGTTATGGGTGCGGTAAGTGCTGAGAAACAGATACACAACTGGCAACCAGCAAGGTGTTGATAGGAGCTTTCCGCAAGCATTCGGAACATATAACGTTACACATGTAGGAGTGTGACCAGGCATACATTTGCTAGCTTATCAAATTCTGTGTGAGCTCAACATAGACGGTGATGCATTTTCATCTCTACTCTCCCCAGCCCCAGCACCCGACCCACTGGGACGGCGTCATAGCTGACGCGGCCCGAGACGCCCTGCAGACCCGCTACACCTTCCTACCCTTCCTCTACACCCTCTTCTACCAGGCACACACCCAGGGGTCAACGGTCGTGCGGTCGCTCATGCACGAGTAAGTTGGGTACATTTTATGATACAAAGTATAAATTTGAAACTTTGTGTCAATACAAACAAAATATCAGCGCATTGAAAAATTTTGCCTGCCCTACTGCAGTCATCCTAAGAATTCAAACAACAGGCTCACATCATCGTGTGGACAGCAAATGGCCATAAATGCCAGGAAGTCTATAACGTCTGCCGTCTCTGTTGAGCTAACGATGGTTGGTTTGCCATGAACTGGGTCGTCTGTCGTTATGTCTACGTTTGTGAACAACGCTTTTCTTTTTCTCTGTATTATCTTGCTAGGTGATAGCCGTAATGATGATATTTTTCAGGTTCATTGAGGACAAGCTCACCTGGTCCATTGACAGACAGTTCCTGTGGGGCCCCGCCCTACTCGTCTCACCTGTACTGGATCAGGTATAAGACTCTTCTTCATCATCAGTTATCTCTTGGCTTATTTCCCGTGGATGATCACAATGCTTATATAGCCTATTGTGTAATTACGTAATCCACTTGTTTGTTTTTTTATAGATGGCCAACATCATGGCCGGCTCAATACAGTTTTTATAGCAAGTATCTATTTGAACTCCCTTGACACTGTAGACAGTCCATAGTGATTGAAATAATTTGTATTTCCGCTAGGGGGAGATGGACGTCAACGCCTACTTTCCCAAAGGGAGGTGGTACGACTACTACTCTGTAAGTAGTTTGTTGTTCTCTTTCATCCGCCATCTTTGACAAAAAAGTAATCAGTATCCCAGATAGACAAATGTTTTAGACTAATTGTTACTTCCTTGCCTACTGCGTCTCGATGGACAAAATTTGTGCCTCTAATTTGGTTAACGCAGATTGACCTTAAGGTCAAGTTAGAAGGAACTGATGGCTGGTAGACTTAGAGAAAATGACGACGTACTGTTTAGTCCAACCAACCAACCAACCAACCAACCAACCAACCAACCAACCAACCAACCAACCAACCAACCAACCAACCAACCAACCAACCAAAGTGACAGAAAAGGGAGAGGAGGTTCAACTGCCACAGATTCCTAAGGTCAAGTTGGAAGGAACTGATCGCTGGCAGGAAGGGAAGATGTAGCTAATTAGTCAGGCTCAATTAGAAGAAAAATGTTCCACTTTGCTTCCTCTCCAGGTGAACTCTGACCGACAGGGCCGGGAGGTAGCCGGGTCAGACCAGGGGAGGAGTCTGTTGCTGCCGTGTGACATGGACTGTATCCCGGTACACATACGGGGTGGGCACGTCATACCTACACAGGAACACGCCAACACTACTGTCTACAGGTTAGGCAATGAAACCACTCGTATATACATAGTTTTAGAGCTATCGTAGAGTGGAACTCGCTGCCACCAAGTACAGTTGGGTCATCATCACTAGATAGATTTAAATAACGTCTACATTTATATGTCCAGGGGTTGGGTGTAACAGGTCGTTCAGTGTTATATACCTGATACTCTTCTTGCTTTTCGTATACGTATTCAACACGAATGTTGGGGTTTCGCTGTACTTTGTGTATTTTTTACCGTCCCCAAGCCTGGCGTTTTTGTTATAGCCATTGCCTAGTTTGGAAGACCTGACTGTAGTGTAAGTCTCTCACAGACAAACGGGTAAATGAATAAACAAAAATTAGAAAATAAATGAAACATACTTGGTATCATTATGTTAACTTCAAAATATGCTACCTTAACTTTCTACTATGATCATTCTTGTAGCCTCCTGTGCAGGCCTCCGGACGGGTGGGGGTTTTGATACTTCGTTTTTATTCCCCCCCCCCCCCGAGGCCTGCACAGGAGGCTTCATTCTTGGTTCATTCACATAAACAACATTTGAGACTTACATGTCTTCACCCCTGTCTGTACAGCCGGAGGAAGCCCCTTGGTTTGATCGTGGCCCTGGACGAGGCTGGCCGGGCCTCCGGGAGTCTGTTCTGGGACGAAGGAGAAGATATAGGTACGTCCTTAATTTTCTATCTGATCTATGATATATTTTGTTTATCTTTCCACAGTTTCGTGTTTATTGTTGAATTGTATGCTTTGTTGACCCGTGGCACACCGTCTTTATCTACGTAGACGTCTTGTCAAATATGAGATATTGATGAACATTAGGCCTGTTTCTTGTTTCTTGTAACTTTATGCGTAGGTTGTAATTCTTTTAATTTTATGCTGTTATGTTGCTAAGGACCATTAATTGTCATAAAGCCAAGAAAATAAACTTCAAGTTGTTGTGAAAACGGACCTCCAGTAGCCTGATATAAGGCATTTTGTTTAGATGTTTTCCTTTCGTGGATACAGACACAATCGGCAGCAACAGTTACAGGATGATTTCCTTCAATGTGGCAGAGGTAAGTCTGGCTTTAATATTCACAGTCTTTGTTAAAGCTGCATTATGTAACATTATGACGAGACAAAAAGTAAATTTTCTTGTCATTTCTGAGTCACAAGGTCATATATAACTTGAATCAACCCTACGTCATTGCAAGTAGGAATTCAGGAATGGGAGGTACCAAAATATGGCGAGTGTTTAAAAGCAGTAAACACTGCCTTCAGCCATGTCTGTTTACAGTCTAATATTTTGTGATAGTGCTTTAATATGTTTTTTTTTGACAACTATAAAACGATGTCACCATGTTTTTTTTAAAGAGTACACTTGACATCACCGTGGAAAGAAACGGCTACACGCCTGACCCTGAACTTCGGTACGAGACCATTCAGGTGTTCGGGTCACCCACCATGCCCACTGACGTCACGGTGAACGGACAGAGCGTCGCGTCGGAAAATATCGTCAAGAAGACTGCAGACAAGGTAAGGGACTATGGCAAAACTTAGCCGGTCCGGCTAGTACATTTTTTTAAAAATTTATTATCAAAGTGAGTTGAAACATTGCAAATAACATTCACTAAGTCTCAAAATATGACGAGTGTGTTTAAAAGTCGGAAACGCTATATATATATATATAGCTATCAGCGATGTTTACATTCTACTTTGTGGTGGTACCACAAACTGAGTGCGCCATGTGTGTGCTGTTTTAGCGCCAACCAGAAATGTCAGAAATGTGAGATGATTACACTAATACGTTGAAAAGTAAATTACAATCACACGAAGATTTTTTGCAGTTACAGCATTTCAATTTTTGGTGCAAAAATGTTACACAATGCCCCTTTAACGACTTCTCATGCGAATACATGTATAATCTAATTAGTTTGATCGTTCTTTCTTTGCTTAGATAAATGGTCTGTGTAATTTCATTAGTTCTTTAAATTGTTTTTGTAATGGTAATTTACCTTTTTATCTTGTAGTATTGGGGAGGGCCAAAGATAAACCACTAGGTTTCCGGCCATCCCATGCATGCATGTCTATTTATATTTTGAATTGTTACATTTTATTTTATTTGTATTGCGCAAAACATAAATAAACAAGTAAACAATACGGCTGTATGTCTACAGGTATGGTACCTGGAAGGTCTGTCCCTTTCCATGGGAAAGAACCACAAGATCACGTGGACCACCCCTGCCTCCGGTGCCGAGGCGGCCCGTGCCCGCCTACCGGTCCTCATCCTCGCCGCTATAGCTGTGATTCTGGTCACGATCTACGATCATTTCTTGACGTAGAGGACATGTTAGACCGTGTAGAGTGGATTCATTCCTCAAGCTAACCGACATCTAGCAGTCTAAGACATCTGGAGCTGCAGAGCCCCAGAGTTCCCGTTTGTTAGAACTTTGGCCGTGTTTATGTGAAGTCACCCAAACCGCGATTCGGGTAACTCACATTCCTCACATCTGGTCAACGTGCCATATAGTCCTTTGAAACCGTGTCCGATCACAATTCGTTTGAGCTACATTTATTATTGTTTGATGAAAACACGCAAGGTAGCGTGTTATTGATGTCAGAGGTCAACGACCTGCTTGCTGATGCCCCCCTCCCAGCGTATCTCCGCCGAATGCCGACGTGGTCCCGCCAGATGCGGTGAATCTCGCCCTAGAACGGACACATTATTTGACCGTTACTGCTCTTTAAGTTGCTGCCACGTAAAAGTTGGTATTGCATATAGATAAATAAATATCACCCTGTAATCTATGACCAGGCGAAGTTAAATTAAAATCACATTGCGTTCAGACGCAAATCGCGATGCGGGAAAATCGATTCGAAACCACCTCTAGAAGTGGTTTGGGATCGAGGCGCTTTCAATGTGATTTGGAGCGTTCAGATGGAGCCACTTGAAACCGGCTTCGGGGGAAACCACATGTAAAGCGCCTTCACTGACTTCACATGAACACGGCCTAATACATCTGGAGCCGCAGAGTTCCCGTTTAAGAACTTTGATTCAGCCTGGCACGTGGTCTGTACATTTGAAGAAGCCCACAGGGTGAAACCGGTCGTGGCGGGCTGAACAAAATTCTAGATGGCCCTATGCAGCTCCAGATGTCTTTTTAAAATGGCGACGGTACATGTAGAGTGATATTTGGTGGTTAGTTTGAAAAATTAATCCAATAAACTACATAATTCACGTAGAGGACACGTTATGTGTCGTGCTTTTGTTAAAGATGTTGGATTTTATATTCATTCTTTTTACAATACAATCCAATACAATACAATACAATACAACACAACACAAAAAAATCAAACGACTTCATAAAATTATTTATTTTGTATTACGTAATGATTTTCCTGGATGAAAACCTTGAATTTACTTGCACAATGTTTAAACTCCATGTTCTACATCGATATCGGGTCTGATCAATATATTTTTAGATTCTGAAGTAGTTTTTTTATGTTTCAAAAAAGGAAATCCAATATTAGTCATGTCATTTTAAAACTAGGCTGTTTGCTTGCACTGGATTCTTAGATTGAAACTTCCTATACGAAGAAGAAATTCGAAATAGAAAGTATTTTCCTGTATATCTCTGTTCTCTTCATTTGTGAATGGTTAGTGTAGAAGTTTCTCTTCCCAAGGAGGTACTGTTTTACAGTTGTGTTTGTGTGTTCGCACGTGTAACTCACGATCCTTTTGGTGGATTTGTTTGAAAGTTTGATTTGTGGTTAGCTATGTGAGCTCCCGGTAAAACATGGCGATTTGAGACATCTTAACTGTCTTTTCTGGTACAGTAGCATAACAGGCCACCACCTCGTGCTTAAAGTGTTGTGACATCGTCCATAGTCATAATACAGAACCAGCTGTATCCATACCTCGCTACCAAAGGTACCAAACAACTTCTATATGGGGCACTGTCTTCAGTCTTTTAGTTATAATTCTACTTCAGCCGAGCTGTGATTGATTGTGAACGATTAGCCTCTACCAGGCTTGAGGAGGCGGCTGGAAAGAGTAGAAATCGGCCAAAATAGAGAGATAAGCATGCCAAGGGAGTTTGGCCATTGAGAGAACAGTTCGCCGCCAGTCCTCAAGCCTGGTAGAGGCTAGTGAACGATCACAAAGTGAGTCCATGTTGACATGACAACTAAAAATTACTAAAAAAACTAAACATATCAGAAGTAAGGATTTCCAGCTAGCCCTGGTTGTCTTTCCCAGTAGCTCTCTTTTGTACATTTAGATTAGTTCTACCATACTGCTAAGACATAATGATCGACAACAAGCTATTATAAACGTTAACAACATTACCTATCAAGCTATGATTAACGCTAACAAGTAGTCAGTGTTGGCAGAGTCATTCCCAGGTGTGTGTGTCTCACCTGTGTGCGGTACACCTGTGGTGACCATGTGCTCCTCACGGCAGATACGAACTTCTCTCTACGCCATACTGCACGGCCGCCCTTTGTCTTGTACATGTATGTTTTGCCGTTGAGTTCTCCCTGACAAAGAGTTGCAAATTTGCCGGCCACAAGCATGGAAAGCAGTAGCGCACCGCCACCGAAGAGACGAGAGAAGCCCGGCGGGGAGTACGTGAAGAGACCGCTGAACGCCTTCATGGTGTGGTCCCGTGTCCGCCGGGCCAAGCTACGGGAGGAGATGCCGGATCTACGGAACACAGGTACGGCGAGCGAGTCACACTCACACCGCGTATGTCTTGTGGTGGTGCGGTCAATGGCCCTCCTGGCTTTTAAATTGATCCTACAAGCAGCTGTAAGCCTATAACCCAATTAATCTGACCAAAAAGACATGCTGAATAGGATTAGGAATTCTCTATCCGCGCATACAGATAGTTTTTTCACTTTGTGAACTTGAGATAAAATGACTTTTATCGCACTTTGATGTCGTAGCAAAACTTGATACGTGTGTAAAGAATGTCTTGCAAATAAATATCTTGAGCCTTTTGCTGTCTTTGAATGTATTGCAAAATGAGCCCATATGTATGGTCTCCGTAGAGATCAGCCGTCGGCTGGGTGCGGAGTGGCGAGAGATGTCCGCGGAGCAGAAACTGCCCCACATTCAGCGGTCCCGCCAGCTCAGGATAGAACACTTCGACATGTACCCGAACTACAGGTCAGGCACCGCAAACATTCCTGCTTATTCTCAGTCTGGATGTGTTCAATTGTATAATACAATATTGTGGAAAAAGGCTTCTAGTCTACTGTGCATTAGACAGAAATAACAAATCGATCTGGTTCTCTCCTGTTTTTACAGATAATTACTAAATTACCTAGCTCATTGTGTGATACATTGTAGAAGGGGCCTTCAACATTGACATTTCACCCACAATGCATCTGTACATGCGATCTTATAAATCCGTGAAAAAGCTTTTGGTGTCAAGTGTTATATAGAGTTTTCAATGACATTTCTTCATACAAAACACTTTAGTGATTATGTCCTGACTTTCATACTGATGTATTGTTCTCTCTGCCCTGTTGTGTCTGTATCCGTACTGTAGGTATCGGCCGAAGCGTAAGTTAAAGTCTGGACCGGTGACCGGGCCCCGTCCCGTGGCAGACATCCTGCAGGCGTCCAGGTCGAGGGAACCGCAGCGCAGCTCCGTCGGGCTAGGGTACAGGCCGGTCCCGCCGGTCCATCCGTCCCCGCCCGGTCCACCTAACGCCTGTGTGTCCAGGGTCTCCGGAGTCCCTGTCCCGTCTGCCCTGTTCTGTAACTTTCCTTATGGTTATACTCGGCCCAGCCAACAGGTCTTTACGTCTACCGCCTGTAGCACTACTCAAGTGTGCCCCACCCATAACAAACCTACCATGTACCCCTATGCCTACTCCCCCCATCCCCTCCCCTACCATTACCCCTACTCCTACCACCGACCCCTTACCCTAACCCTCCCCTCTGGCTCGGGAACGCTACACTACATCCCGACGTCACTTCCTGAGGTTGAGCCCGAGACTGTGATGTCACTTCCCGGATGTAGCCGACAACGTTTGGCGCCACGTCCTGCCGTGACAGCCGTGACGCCGATGTTTCTGACGTCGGTTTCGCTTTCCCGCCGGAATGTTCCGTTGCAGCTCCACCGCACCACTGCCTGCCTCCACTGACGTCACTGATCCATCGATCAACTGCAGGCAACAAGACGCCTGGCGGTAGCTCGCCGCACGCCAGCGCTCCTAGCGGCCCGGTGCTGAAGTGCCATCCATTGCAGCCCGTGGTGTCTTCTGAACGCAGCCCCTCGGCTCAGCTCGTCTGCACGGAAACTGACGAAGACAGCGACACGGAGAGCTGTTCCTCACCGGAAGAACAAGGCGGGAGTTGCCATGACAACCGACTGCAGAACCTGCGGAGCTGCACCGGGCTGTTCTGGGCGACACCATTGGCGGCCGGCGGGGGGCATGCCAAGGAGAAAGTCATCGTAGAATCGGTCCCAGCCATCGAGCCTGTCTCTATCGCAGAACCACGTGGGAGTCCCCACATCGGCAGTCACTTCAGATTTGAGTGGAACTGATGCTTAAGAATATCAAAAGCTGTTCTGATGTTTATTTATTTTGATTTGGTTCTCGGTTTGATAAGTTGTATTGGAATTCGAAATGAAAGTGCCAGTTGTGCCTAAACCATACACAAAGAATATCTATTGAACATCATCGTTTCTTACAGAAAGAAATATGAGAAACTCTTTAGATTTAGCATTTGCGTTAATCGTTTGAGGAAGGCACTAGAATGCATCACAACAACAGAGAGATACAATAAAGATACATGTTGTATCATTCACCTTTTGTGATGTTTTTTTTTGTTGTTACTCTGTTTAGATAGCTTTATCTCTTGTTTAATTGAAACAAGTTATTAAATTTAAGGCTCAATCCTCCGATGAGTCAATGGTATACGTTATAGAGCTTCCTCCTCTTGCATTACGAGAGCACGCTGACACCGCTTTTCAACAATTCGAGGTTATACTTGTGTTTTAGTAAAGAGCGCTCCGTGCGGATTTTCAAAAAAATGCATGTCCCTATTGTGTTTATGCCATATGGCAAAGCATTCTTTCAAGTCTTTACTGTCATCAGCTGGCAGCTGTCTGAAATGTACCGTATAATCTTTCAATAATACATCACAAGCTAATTATACACGCCAAGAACGGTAAAAACCTACACATATTCCCGTGGCGGCTGTTTAACGTTTATGTTGTTACAGTTCATTAGGACGTAAACATTACCCTCCCCCTAGCTGGGTTCCATCCGGCTGTTTCTGTAGCGTTTTCCCAGTTGTATTGAAAGTTCTATTCTCTCCAAGCAGGGGTGTCTGTGTGCAGTTTTTAGCGATCGGAAATCAGATTTTTCAAAGTCAATATTCTAGTCACTTATCTACATACTAAGTTGAAACCACACTATCCTAATGTATATTGATCCTCATGGAGCAAAAATATCCAAATTTCTGACAAAAAATGGTTACTGGAAAGGCCCTTAGCTGATTTTTAGGATACCACCTACAAAATAAAGGACTCATCTTGTGGCTTTTTTCTGCAGTTTTATGCCCAAAGTATGAAATAGTGATTGAAATGAGCTAATGTGAAGCAGTATGTGTCAGTAAAAAAATCAACACACTGTCATCTTATTTCTATGATTTAGCACCGAAGGAGGCATCAGCCATACGATTATATTAGTTCAAAAGTGGGGATAAAAGAGTGCTGGCGTTTACTTCCTACAAAGTACTTTAGTTTCAGTTAAAAAAAATAACTTAGAAATATAATCAACATATTTGCATTGTGCATAAGATGACGTTGATATCTAGAAAACACATGAATCGCAGGAAGGTCCGTGCATGTAAAAGGTAGTACTATAAATACATCGTATTGCCATTTTTAGAAATATACATTGAATCACTGATAATAAAAGGACTATATATAAGATGTTTAACAGTTTCCATTCTATCTCCTGTAACACTAGTACTGGTCCATATCAGAGCTCCTAGAAAACAAAAGCTGTAGAATTCAGAAACTTAGAAATTTATTGCTGGAACTGAGCTTGCGATGTTGACCAATTCGTTCTCTTTATTCTCTTTATTCTGATATACCCTTTAGCAAATAACATAGTAAAAACACACACATATAACGCAAGAAGAGATTTACACTTTATACATTCATTGGTTGGAAATGGTAACTCTATGGCAATTTATTCCAATTCTATATTATTGTCTAAACAAACCACATTGCCTGGCAAAGACTATTGTAACACACGTGCAACAACGAACTGCGATCATGCATTACTTCCCATGACCCCTGCCATGACTAAAGAGGCGACCCTGGTGACAGGGCCAACTGGACATGTCCGTAATCACGGTGTCCACTTTAGTACTGACCACGGCTGGACACTGGGCTCATGTGGCAGAGACTGGTCACTGCCTCAGGCCAGAACTTTCAAGCGAGACGACAACATCTGTGACGTAGTTTTGTCGACTCCATCTTACAATCAGTATTACGTACGGCACACTTATAGAACAAGTACTGAAGGTGGATAAAAAGTCCGCCAATGTTCTCTATATAAGCCTTATGACCATGAAATAACTGCAAATGTAACACCCGTCTGTTTTATATTGTACTATATTAGTTTTCAATTCATGTTAATTTTATAGAACTCAATATTCGACAATGCACAGATATGACGGTGTACAAATTGGTTGTTCTCAACACAGTTCAGTTTGTGTATGATAAAGATTTTGATTTGATTTTTGCAGAGAAGAAATCTCATACTACCCTTGAAAAATGCAGAATTTCAGACTTCAATTTGCATCATTCCTAGTTTGAACATCATCCTAGTACCTGTACGTTCTCTTGTGCCTAGCCTCCAAGCAGGCTCTACGATCGGGGCTTTTACAATACGTTTGTTCTTCGTATAACATATCGCTTCCATTTGTACTCGGGCTCTTATGCCGCTACGTTGTGCCAACACAGTCCGAGTACAAATAGAGGTGAAATTCCATAACTAAGAAAAAAAGCGATATAATAATGCAGAGTAGTAGATTCATTCCTCAAGCTAACTGACGTCTATAACAACGCGGTCGTCCCTCAATATTAAAGTTTTTTAGAGCAGCATAGTTCACGTTTATAACTTTGATTCCGCCACCCCTCACAAAAAGCCCCGGTGGTAGAGCCTGCTAAACAGGCTACTCTTAGCTTTGCCGCCGTTCTTTCCCGATGTGCAGGGCCACATGACTGATGTATGTGGGCGGTGGAGCGGAACTGCCGGCCGGGGTTGTGTTGGATGATGTACCGTAAAGTGAAGCTTGCCTGCGGCGGTGCGCGGCGTGTGCCAACATTACCCCGCCTCGCCAAATGAGTCCTTAAGCCGTCCTTTCTACACGCTGATCACTTAGTTAATGGGCTCGCCGCGAATGATCAGATTGCAGCTTTAGTCATAAAACGTGATGTTCGCTGTTTGTGTCACCTTTAAAGGTCGAGGGTTCGATTCCCAAACTCCGGGGGCTTCTATTTATCGCCTGGCGAATGAAAAGTTGGACCGAAAACTGCATCGTTGACTGTTTCTGAAATCTTTGCCACAAATTGCCTTTGGCGTTAAGCGGGGGGATGTATAGTTTTCATCCGCTAGTTGGTCTGAAAGTATCCGACGTCCTTCACAATATGTACCGTAGTCGTCCTGTCTTCCACGGACAAGGACTTGTTTTGTAACCGCATCAATTAACTGATCCATGTCTGTATATTAAACCAGAAGAGTATACAGATCTTATTTTAGTAAGATATCCTACTGTTAAGTATCGATTGTGTTAAGCGATCACGAATATTTTATCTGTAATTTTTGGCACAGACAATTCACTGTTAAACCCTCTATAGGTTACTCAACACTACGACTGTCAGATTGGGCCAATTAATGTTGTATTTCCTGTGTTGGTACTAAGTTATATTACCCTCCCCCCCCTTTACAGAACGTTACACTGGCCCGGTTTGCAGGTAATATCGTCACTTAGCGGAAAATATCCCCCAATCAATTTTAGTAGCGCAAGCTGCATTGATCCTATAACAAAGTCTAATCCCGCCATCCATATTTCAGAAGTTTGGGTATAAGTTTTAGTGGCTGAAGCCCAGGGTAGGCATCCGCACTGTAAACTCCAGGTAATCAAACCTAACATTAGCGTGCATTATGTATGAGCGCGGCTTGAGGAGAAACTTATCTAAGACCGTTCGGTAAGGGAGCTTGATCAGTCTCATCCAGGCACTGTCTCCTCGTTTATTCAGCTACTCAAGGGACGGTCCATTCCACCACTTCGTGCAGGGGGGTTCTTTTGTCACTTTTCTTTCCGCTTGTTCAATTGATTTCAATACGTTAGATCCTATAGATAAATTCAACAACATTTTCAGGGTAGGTAACCAATACAGTGTTCAAATAGGAAAATATATTAAAGAATGTTTCGATCTTAGACAGTCGTAGTATGGATGTTTTACAGACATAATTTTGAATGGTTATGTTTGTTTCATATTCGTATCTTTACTATATATATAGATATTAGCCAAACTGCTATTATTATCATACAAAAATATAAGCATACTATTATGTTAGAGAATATTTAAACCTTTATTGTTACCGCATACATATATTCTGTACGTAGGATGAAGTTATCCATACATGTATTTAACTTTGTTAGACCTTAAGTTGTAGAAGATCATACAAAAGTCCCAGTACTTTTTGTTGTGTCAATAAAGAATCTATCTTTGTTCGGAATTTGTTACATTTCATGCTATAAATAAATTCAATTCCATTCTAGAAGGTAATAACCCTTACTGTGTACAAATAGGTAAATATATCAAGGAATGTTTAGACCTTAGAACAAGTAGTATGAGTTGGTTCATACATTGTTTTGTACGTAGGTCAATTTTGTTGTACCTATGTATCTGTCTGTATGTTTACATGTAGTTTAAGACCTTACGAAAGTAGCTGTACCTTTGGTGTGTCAATAAAGTTCTATATTTGTTTTGTATAACAAATACCCAAGCCTTTGCCAAACTTAAGACAAATTATTACAAGGGTATGCATGTGATCACAAACTAATATTAAAGAACTAAGTTAAAAATATAGCTACATGCATGGTATTTCGTACCATTGGACTAAAGACACAGTCGTAGTATGGATGTTTCACAGAAATAATTTTGAATGGCTACGCTTGTTTCGTACTCGTATCTTTACTATATTAGCTATCATTTTCATAGAAAAATATAAGCATGCTATTATCATTCCATAATTGGTACTAGTACTGGACCTTTGTACAAAGACATACTAAAGTGACGCAGTATGGATGTTTTCTAGACATTAGTTTAAATGGTTACGCTTGTCTCGTTCTGTTGTGCTAATTTGTGTGTTTTCTAGCAGTACATTTGTGTCTTTCAGAGCAAAAATGTTCGTTTTCTAGCTGCAGTGTGTCTATATATGTCCTTTTCATCAACTCAGTGCACGAATCGTAAGTTATATGCACGCATATTCTAGTTTTGTTTGCACCCTGCCCCTCCCCATGGTGCTTGTGGTAGGCCCCAGTAACCGGTTGTGTTGTCGGCGGCCGACCCGGGCTCGGCTTTGTGAAGGCAGGCGGAAAATTGGAAGTTGGATGGGAGAGACGGTCTGAGATGGAGGCCTGGGCGGGCCGGAATGGGAGATTTCACCTTCAGAGAGTCGGACGGACTCACAACAAACCCGCAAAGTCAGAGTGC